GGTAGAGGTTGGAAGTATTGTCAGGCAAGCAATTTACACAAATTTATTTAAGTGAATTATCAAAATATTAAGGAAAAGTTTCAAATCCAACTTATTCAAATGTTTCTACCTCTTATATTTATTTTAAGGTATAAAGGAATCACTCAAACAAGTCTCTTCAGACTTTGATAATAATTAGCTATGGCTATATTTAGTAGAGAGCTGCTTTATTTGAGACTTAAATTTTGAAGTCATAGGGAAAAAAAAGTATTTCAATTAACAAAATGATCAGAATGTAATTTTAATCTTTTCTTTTAAAGTGTATTATTCCTCAAAAACGGTGATCATTCTTCATAGTTTTTCTATATTACAAACATATTTTACATTATCAGCACTGGACTGTGAAATATAAAGTCAGCAGTTCAAACCCACCAGCTGCTCCTTGGAAACCCTATACAAAGTCCCTATTATTTGGAACCAACTTGATGGCACTTAACAACAACAACAACACTACTTAATAAATGAGGCCTGGTAGAGTAGTGGTTGCAAGCTGAGCTTCTAATTGCAGGTCAGCAGTTCAAATGTATCAGTTGCTCCATAGGGAAAAAAATGAAGCTTTCTGCTCCAGTAAAGATTTTCTGCCTTGGAAACCCTATACAGGGTCACTATGAGTTAGAAGTGACTCAGTGGTACACGACCACTACCAATATTTAATAAGGAGTTCTGGTGTGGCACTGTAGGGTAAGAACTGGACTGCTAAACACAAAGTTGTTGATTCACATCCACTAGCTACTCCTCAGAAACCATATACAGGGTTGCAATGTGTTGGTACAGATTCGATGGCACTAACAACAATACTTAATAATGGAGCCCTGGTGGCATAGTGGGTGAAGCATAAGGCTGGTAAACAAAACGTCAGCCATTTGAACATACAAGTCAATCCTTGGCAGTCTTCTTCCATAAAGACTTACCACCCCAGAACTCCTATGGGGCAGTTCTAGCCTATCCTATAGTGTGCTATGAGTCGGAGTCAATGCAAGAGTAAAGGGTAGTAGGTGGTGATGGTGGTGATGTGCCGTGGAGGCGGTTCCGACTCACAGCGGCCCTGTACAGGGTTTCCAAGGCTGTAAATCTTTACAGGCGCATAAAGCCTCATCTTTCTCCCGCAGAACAGCTGGTAGTTTCGAACTGCTGACCTTAAGGTTCGCAGCTCAATTCGTAACCACTACACTACCAAAGCTCCTTAGGGTAGTAGGTAGGTTTGGTTTAATACTTAATTTAAAAAACCTTCTGTTTAACTAATGACTCAAAAGACACCATTTAAAAATGAAAAGATAAGTTGCAGGTCAGGAGAAAAACATCTGCCAGAAAGAGAACTTTATTGGAAACATATAAAGAACACTTACAACTCAATAAGAAAAAGAACAACAGCCCAACTAAGATATGGACAAAAGACTTGAATAGATACTTCATCAACAGACACATATAAATAGCAAATAAGCCTGTGACATTTGTTGTTGTTGGTTCCTGTACAGGGTTTCTTTGGAGCAGTAAGTGGGTAATCTTGCAGTTAGCTTATCTATCCTACAGGGCCTATCCTACAGTGCCATACCAGAACACATCAAGAAGTGGCATGAAAAGAAGAAGAGGAAGCTCATATATTGTTGGTGGCAATGCAAAGATGCTACAGTAAATAAATTCTTACCATATGATATAGGAATCTACCCAATAGACACAAAAGCAGTGTCCACAAAATGTTCATAATAGATCAATATGTAATATCATTTGCATAACATAATATGCAAATGTTCATAATAGCCCAAACAGAAATGCCCATCAACTTGTCAAGAGATAAAAATGTGGTATATATCCATACAACCGGAAGGTCAGCAGTTCGAAACTACCAGCTGCTCCACGGGAGAAAGATGAGGCGATCTGCTCCCGTAAAGATTTACATCCTCGGAAACCCTATTCAGGGTCGCTATGGATCGGAACCGACTCAACGGCACTTAACAACAACAACAACATCCATACAATGGAATACAATGCAGCAACACAAAGAAATGAACTACTAACAGATGAAACAGGGATGAATCTCGAAAACACCATGCAACGTAAAACAGGTCAGGAATAACAGAATCTATACTGGCAGACCTCTAAAGACAGAATCAATGGTGTCTGTGGCTGGGACAGACTGACTGAAACAGGCACTAAGGGACTTTTGGAGTGATGTACAAGTCCTAGAACTGCTTAGAGGTATTGGTTACATACCTACATAAAATTTACCAAAGCTCATTTTGTATACTTCAAAAGGTATATATAATTGACTCACAAAATAGGTGATTTAAAAAAAAAAAAAAAAAAACCAGAGATAATCAATTAAAGTAAACCCAAAACTTGTTGAATAAATGAGTCTTCTATTCACTTCTGAACACCTTTAGGGGAAAACACACAACCATATAAGCACATTTAAAAGTTAGACATTTCATTCAATATCTTTCAAAGCAAACCTTCATTTTAGGCTTTAACTTTAATCACAGTCACTTACTGAGAATCTTTAAAAATTCTTGGGATAAAATGAAATACAATGTACCATTAAAATGTAATAAAACAATAATAGGAACCACCTGCATACTGTAAGCCAGACAATGCTCTAGGTATTTTATGTGCATAATTATAATTTCATACAATATACAATTAAAAATGAGGAAAACAAGACGTGGAAAGGCTAAACTCCCTACAGTCCTCCAGGAATATGACTGATCCTGGATTGGGGAATATGATCAACTCCAAAACCTATGTTCTTTCCACTCTCCTGCACTGCTTCCAGTATATATAAAATGGAAAATTTCAGTCAACAGTTCTAGAAGATTAGATTAAATTAGCTTGAAAGGTAATTTAAAACCAAACAACCACTTAGAAACCCAAAATGAAGCAATTTTCCTTGTTTAATGGTAAATTTTTTTAAATGAATTTTATAGCCTATTTTTAAAATGGAAATCTGGTAAAAATATACATTTAATTATTGAGAGTTAAACTCTCTGATTCCAAACTTTTATGACACTTAACAGGAAAAGTGATATTGTTCTTCACAGAATAATACAAAACCCATGTAACAAAGAACTCCTGGTTAGGCACTGTGAGGTCAGCAAGGATTGTAAACCACAAGGTCAGCAGTTCAAAGTCACCAGCTGCTCCTCAAAAACCGTATACAGGGTCGCTATGAGTGGACATCACTTTGACAGCACTTAACAACAATATGTAACAGAGGTATTAAAAAGTTGACTAAGAATATGAGAGATCTGTTAGGAAGCACAAGTGTGCTTTTAAGTGTTCTTTGTAAATATCTGGTTTTATTTTTCATACTTGAAATATTACATGACAATTTCCCTCAAAAGGTAGATACAGCATATAATTTGAAAATCTTGTTTCTAATACTAAAATGTGCAGTGACCTTCCAAACGAGAACACACATGAAGGCAAGTGAAAAAGTATTGCTACAAAAACCACAGAAACTTTTACTAAAACAAACAACCAACAAAAATACCAAAAATGTGAAACTATTAATTCTTGACATGTGTTCCATCTAGGTCTATACACTTTATATGGCTGTTTCCATCTCTGTATGTTTTTTCTTAAGAATTCTGTGCTTTTCAACTTACACCACATCAAAACTGCAGTTTAAACATCCTTGTGCAACTTAAATCAGATTCTTTTTTTTAATGTTTTTTGAGTTTGGGGAACAAGACTGAGTCTGAAGGGGTAGGGACAGGGCTATAGGGAAGCTGAGGTAAGGTTTCCCTATGAAATTCTCACGAGACAACCTTAGCTACCCTCGAAGAATGAGTGAGTGCATTTCTATAATGGGAAAAAATTTCTTGGCAAATTTGCCCACGACTTTTCTTCATCAATACAGTTTTCAACTTTCTTAAAAGTCCTTTATATTAAGCACCCATGGTCATCCTTTGTCATTCAAGAAAATCTATCAAGATTTCTTTAGAATTCCAAAGATCGGTTGCCATAACCTTCTGAGCTGACCTCTTTGCCTTGAATTTACTGGCTCAGAAGATTCCCTTGGAAGCCACTGGCAAATTCAAAACTTGTTCCTGGTTACAATTCGGTCCATAAAATCATCTTCATTACAACCTTCAGTATCTTGCTTAAAAGACTGATGAAAAGATTAGCTTTTTGAGCTAGTTAATCTCTCTGTGCAGTGCTTTTGACACCCAATGAGTCAAAAACTTGCTGAGGCCAAGATGTTCATTTTAAATGGAAAATGATGACGCATGTGAAATCCCAACCTCAGCAGCTACCACATCAATGGTAATTCTATGTTTTTCTTTCAGTTTCTGGACTTCAATCATAGTATCGTCATTCATCTCAGCTCATCTTGAAGGTCTTCACAACCTTCTTTAATATCTAAAAACTTGTTACAGCTTTCTCATAAATATGTTGCAGAGCTTTACTGATTTGGGAAAATGTCCACTTGATTTTTTAAATTTTAAATTTGGTATTAGCCCTCACTTCAAATCGTTTTTCCATGGCACAAAAAGCATCCTTTCTCTGAAGACACCATAGCAAGACTGATTACAAGTGTATTACTGAAAGAAATTGTTTTGCAGTCATACACACGATCACAGAGACATGATTAAACATGTTTTGTTTTGAACAAACCTGTGAATGTCTGAACTGGAACTCTAGTAGTTATACTTTTTGACTTATACTTATTTTCTTACTAAGGAAAAAAAAATTCCAATTTTTATAACTTATAATGCTGAGTTATCATGTACACATGAAAGTGCCCTAAATTCTGCATAAACAATGAAATAAACTATTGAACCTGTCAAGTCTATAAATTTTTATAATCAAAATATATACACAGATTCGTGAAATGTTATATTACTTTCAGTTACTATATCAACTCTAGCTTTGTCCAGAAGAGTAAGGATTAATGATTATATACTAGCATATGAAAGATGCTTTAAGAATACACTCATGACATTTGGTGATTATTATCTTACCAGTCTGTTTACACGAACAAATTCTTCTGAGGTTTTGGCCCAAGGAGGAAGTTCCACATCAGACACTACTGTTCCATCATCCATCACTCCAAGATTATAATTATTAAAGTTGACAAACATCTCAGGGAGATAATAAAATTCAGGGATCAATTCCTATATAAAAACAAAAGATGATATCATACTATAAATTGTGAGATATATAACAGATATTTAAAACTGGGCCTGATCATTACCTAAAGCAAAAGAAAAAGAAACACAGGGAAAAATTTGTTTCACTTTTCATATCGTTGTTGTTGTTATGTGCCGTGGAGTCGGTTCTGACTCATAGAGACACTGTACAGGGTTCCTGAGGCTGTAAATCTTTACTGGAGAAGAAAGCCTCATCTTTCTCCTGCAGAAAAGCTGGTAGTTTCGAACTGATGACCCTGAGGTTAGCAGCCCGATTCGTAACCACTACGCTACCCGAGCTCCTTTTTCATATCATAGTACCTGTCATATAATTTTATTAAGGTATACCCTAGCCAACCAAAATTTATTAATATTCTACTGGTTGGCTAGATACTCTCTTTCAGGACATAACTTGGGTATTAGAGAAGTTTGATAAGATATAAACAGATATTATAATGTTGTAATAATAATTACATGACAAACTAGATTTTACATGAGGAATAGACAGTTTTACCCAGAAAATACCCAAATCTTTATGATATAAACATTATTATGCCATTGCTTTAATTCCTTCATCAATTAGGAAGGCTATTTATTAAGGTACTAACTCATTAAAAATATTAAAAAGTTATAATTAGTCTAGAAAATGCCTACCTAAAGAAACTGAGTAAATATGTGATCTTAATAAGGACATTTAAATAAACTTTAATATCACACTTAATAAGCAAAAAAGTTCAGTAAGCCCCATGTATAACTATTTCAGAAGTCCTGTAGATCAGACTTAAAATCCAGTCTTCACATGGGTCAATGGCTCAGTGGTCTCTCAGATACCCCCTCAGGGCCAGCTCTGGCAGGCCCAGCTTTCCAAACTGTTGAGTAAAATAGGGAGGTCATCAGATTTTGGACAAGGTCAGTATGAACTCACCAGAGCTAAGACAAAAAATGTTCCAGAGGAATTAAGCTATTATCACTTCCATCATCCATGTGAAACACAGCTTAACTTTGAATTGTACATCCTTTGTTTATACTCACAATAACTAACTAAGTAGGGTAGAAATGAGCTTGTTCTCCACATACCTGACAACCACCTGATCATTAGACTTGCAAAACAATTAAACTGAACAATTTTTTTAAAGGAAGGATCCTGCTAAACCTTTGATCATAAATGAAATTAGACAGTGATCACACAAAAATATTAAGATCCTGATCTTCAAAAATGATGCATATAAATCTGACAAAAAGATATATGTGTATTATTATATTACAAACCTACATCCATTTTATTTGAACTAACTTTTATTCAGTGACCTGTGCCAGCTATTAATGTAACTTTTAATAAACCTTATAAAGTACAGGCGAATGTTCCTTAGACACAAGGATGATGAGATTCTGTGTCAAGTATTTTGGACAAGCTATCAGGAGGGACTAGTCCCTATATAAGGGCATCGTGCTTAGTGAAGTAGAGGGTCAGTGAAAAAGGGGACGCTTCTCAATGAGATGTACTGACATAGCAGCTGTGACAATGGAATCAAACACAGCAATGACTATGAGGATGGCAGAGGACCAGACAGTGCTTTCTTCTGTTGTACAATAGATTACTATGAGTCAGAACTTACTCAATGCAACCAAACAACAATTATATCACATTTAATTATCAAAACAATTTTACAAGGGAAGTTATCATCTCCATTTAAAAAAACAACAACAAAGAGGTTCAAAGATGTTAAGCAGTTTGCCCAAGGATACACAGTTAATACGTGATAAATTTGGGACTTGGACCAAGTTTTATCTAACACTAAAGCCTGTGTCTTTAATCATCAAATATTCAGGGGTTCTACTTATACAATGCTAAACACTTAAAATAACAAACCAAAGATATATTTCTAGTTCTGTCATAAGAAAACTGGTACTTCTTCAGTACTTCAGTTTTAAATGGAATACATTTCTTAAAAAAATTGCCAAAAAATACATATACTGTAAGCACACATATATGTATACGCTACATAATTAATTCAAACAAAAGAATTTGCAGAATGTGCCCATTGATGGTCTAAATTATTAATGTATGCCTGATATTCTTTTTTTTTTTTTTTTTTTAAAGGAGCTAAAATGAATCGAGAGAAATACTGTTAACTGATGGTACATGGAAGGGATTATAATCATTGTAATGAAACAAAGTATGTGATTTGTTGAATGTAAAACTGATGATCTGCCATGTAAACTTTCACTCAAATCACAATAAACACTTAAGAAATGTTATAATTACTATCCACCTAGCTATACAGATAAATAACTTAAGAGCTTTATATGAATAATTTACTTTGTTGTTGTCAAGAGTCATCAAGTCATTTCCAACTCACAGAGAACCTGTGTAGGGTTTCCGAGGAGTGGCTGGTGGGTTTGAACCATCAACCTTGCAGTTAGCATCCAGTGCTTATTATACAGTACCACACAAGGATAATTTGCTTTAATGTATCCTTAATAAGTTTCCAATATTGAGGAATTTGACCAAAGTGCCAAATTTTCATTGCAAATTTTTTGAGCTAATGGAAGAGTTACATGAAGAGTTACAATTCTCCAGGTCTTATTTTACAAAAGAGTGGGAGGATCATGCCTGCCTTGCTTGTTCAAGAAAACAAGCAGTATATTGTTGTTAAGCATCATCAAGTCAGTTGTTGTTCACAGCGACCCCCGTACAGGGTTTCCAAGGAGGGGCTATTGAGTTTGAACCACGGACCTGTGGTTTAAACCAACCTTGCACTCCAGTGCTTTATCCCACAGTGCCTCACCAGAACTCTTTTATTTTTAAGTAAATATTAATTCTTTTTATTTCAATAATAATACCTCCAGCTCTACCCCCCAAGAAATAGCAACTTAAAAAGGGGAGGGTTTCACAATACCAATTTTAAAAATACATACTAAAACTTCCTGTATTTGCCAAGAAAATAAAAAACACCAATGATAGATTTAAATTAAAGGAGGAGAGGAAAAAACAAGTCACTACTCACATTTAATAGACTCCCTATAGTGTCTGCATTGCCCATTTGTCTTGTCCCAATACAGGCAGGGTAAGAATTCATTGATGTTACTAGTTTACCAGTTACCATCAAGTCAATTCTGACTCATGGTGGTGGACCCCATGTGAGTAGAAATGTACTTTATAGGTTTTTTTTCTGAAGTAGAACACCAGGTCTTTCCTTTTAGGTTCTTCTGGATCAACTTAACTTTCAACCTAATGCTTAACATCCTAGTGTGTTAACTATCTGAATCATGAATCAGCCTGGGATTCGCTTAGAGTTAACCACGGGATACCACTATTTGCCTAAATACCAGTATCTGTCACACTGTCCCTTTGGTCAGAAACCTTTTATAGATCCCCATTATCTCAAGAAGAAAAGAAGATAGCATGAAAATATAAAGTTAGGAAAAGGAAAAAGAGGAGGTGGGTGTAGCATTCTTTAGAACATTTCTCTCTCTCTTTAAGGAGCTCTGATAGTATAGTGGTTACAAATCGGGCTGTGAACTGCAAGGTCAGCAGTTCAAAACTACCAGCCGCTCCATGGGAGAAAGATGAGGCTTTCTACTCCCGTAAAGATTTACAGCCTCGGAAATGCTGTTTAGGGTCGCTATGGGTCAGAACCAACTCAACGGCACTTAACAACAACAACATATTATACTATGGACTCCAGATTTAATATCAGGACTAAGGCTCTTGCCAGAGTGGTCACCTGACAAAAGATTCTTCCTATTTAGTTGGTTAAGTAAAATCTGCAAACACATATACAGTGACTACCACAGGGAATGGTACAAAGTGGGTAGTAAAAACGTGTTTATTAGTACCTAAGTGACATGGCAGAATCCCTAGTTACACAGCTAAGGGCCCAACAGCAAAATGGGTCAGTAGTGAGAGAATTACACCCACTCCATGGCAAACAGTTGTGGCAATCTGCTTCTGTAAAGAGTTATAGCCTTGGAAACCTATAGGGCAAGTCTACTGAAGTGATGTAGTTGTTGTTAAGTGCCATTCAGTAGATTCTGAGTCACAGCAACCCTATTTAGGGTTTCTGAACAGTAGCTGGTAAGTTTGACCTGCTGACCTTGCGGTCCAGGGCATTATCGTGCACTGCCACACCAGGACAACACTGTAGCTTATAAAGCTGCTTTATTTAGACCAAGCCTTGGAAGCAGAAATGGAATAAAACTGCCTTTTAATAGAAATTGTCATAAAAATAAACTCTTCAATCTTTCTTATATAAACCAAATATATGATTTTGTACCTCTAATCCTTTACACTTGTCATTTTATTTAGATTAGTTATGAAACTGATAAAAATAATATTTTCTCAGAAACAGAAATGCTCTCCACAGGCTATTTTACAAGTAGCCAATGATGGTGCAATGATTAAGTGCTTGGCTGATGACCAAAAGGTCAACAGTTTGAACCCATCAGCCAGTCTATGGGAGAAAAATGTGGCCGTCTATTTCTGTAAATATTACGGCCTTGGAATCCCTATGAAGCAGTTCTGTTTGATAGGGTTGCTATGAGTCAGAACTGACTCCACAGAAATGGGTTTGGACTTTCAGTTCTTTTACAAGTTCTAAATGATATTAATAAGAGAAATTAAGTTCACTTAATTTAAATAGATAAGATGGTGTGAAACTATATATAAAACAAATGCTGTTGTTGTTAAGAGCTATCGAGTCAATTTTGACTCATAGCAATGCAAGGTTTCTGGGGAATGGCTTGTGGTTTGAACCGCTGACCTTAAGGTTCAAACTGACCTTGCGGTCCAGTGCATCATCCTGCAGTGCCACACCAGGACACCTTAAAACAAGTAAGATAATGTTAATAAATGTAATGAGGAAATAAATTTCAAACTTCTAAGTTTTACTGGATTATAGTAAACTTTCAGTTATATAATTCCTATCACTCTGAGAAATAAGCAATAACTCATCAATTTCCATTTAACTATGATAGGTTTCATT